GATTCAGAATACATTAAAAATACTGAGTTTATACCATGGGAAGTTGTATCCTCACTTTGTTCTTTAACAGTCTCCCATTCCCACGTGTTATGCCTGTTTCAGAGAAAACTTTTAAAAAGAATGGCCTACATTGGTCAGTACCCAGAGAATAGCTAGAATTGGAAGTAATTCATAAGTATTGATGAAAAAGGATTGGGAGAAATGAAAGGCAGAGATGTTAAAACCCAAAGAAAACAAAAAATAAATTAAAAGCAGAAAGATAAAAAGTGGCCACAAGGAGGAGACAGAGGATGAACACAAGATGGAATTTTTATGGAAATGCATCTTTACCAAATAGGAAAAGATGTCCTGATTCAAACAAAGGTCTATAAAAATGCACTGATTGATTCAAATCCTAATCAATACTTGCTCTGTGACTAAAGCCAAATTATTTATCCTCTGTGTTTATTTTTCTTATTAGTGAAATTTAAATAAATACCTGCAAAGGTAATTGTTTAATACACATACTTTGCTTCTAGAAGTATCTATCTAATTATTATAACAGAAGCAAATCTGGTTTATTCTGGATGACTTTTAAAATGGAAGAAACCTGTGTAATTTCCCAAATGAACCCTCCAAGTAAGCCCAACCAGGGTCTTCCTGCAGCCTTACCAGTCAAGTTCTATTAGCTCAATTGATTTTCCTTCAAAGCATAGCACTTAGCATGATGTCACATTATTTTGCTCTTTGCTTTCTTTACTTTTTAACTGTCTGTACCATTACCCTTTAAGAAGAGCACAAATAATGTATCAGTGACCACTTGATCCTCTGAAAACAGCAGTGCCTGAGACATCCAAAGTGATGAAAAAATTTATGTTCAAATAATTGACCAATTTTCCCTGCCACTTAAGTTTTATAGCAATTTTCATAGCAAAGTGCAATGTTATCTCAATATACTGGGATATGAATCCTCAGTTCAGATATGCTTTTCATCAATTACACCATGTTTACTCAAATTTCCCAACTTTTTTACTCAGCTATTTTCCTTGCTTGATAAACATTCCCCTCTCCTTTTTTTGTTTGCAAATCTTTACCTTTCCTTATATACACTTTATTCMATTTGATTGTCATTTAACTTTTTACTTATGTATGTTTTCTATGCATATGCATCACAAGTTTAGTGATATGGATGCAGTCTAATACATTTCATTTTCTCAACTATGTCTAACAAAACACTCTGCCATAGTTGTCTATTAGTTACTATTCAATTCAATAATTTTTAATGAAGCTCATTCCATTTTTTAAGAGGATCACAAGTTCAAGGCTACTTGAGCAACTTAGCCAAATGCTTTCTCAGAATAAACAGGACTGGGGATGTAGCTCAGTGGTAGAGCACCCTTAGGTTCAATTCCCAGTACCCACACACACAAAGAAAAACAAATGTAATGCAGAGGTCTGAGAGAGGAAACAGGATATCACTGATAAAAGGACTCAAAACTCAGCTTAAAAGGGGTATACACGAAAAAGTCTATACATAGAGAGAACCAATTGTAGAGTGTTCCTTTTATTTTTCATTTTAGAGACAATTAACAACTCTTACAGTAATCAACATCATTTTCTTGACTGTGTCTTTTCCACATCCACTAGCCTTCCTTGAATATTGATTAGTCCTATCCACAATGCTATCCATTCAAATATTTCACTTTGTTATTATACCAATATCTCCTTGTTCTGATCCCAGTGTCTTAATAAGCATTTATTGGGTGGTAATTGAATGTCAGTTACTAGTTTAGAGCTATAGAGTATATATCATTCCAGGGATTTAAAAAACAATTTAAATATGTGAGTGGGGATGTAAGTCAGTGGTAGAGTACTTTCCTGGCATGCACATACCATGAATTCAATCCAGAGCACTGCAAAAAAAAATAAAAATAATTAAATATTTAAGATTACTGTGTGTGTGACAGTGTTTTAAAAAAGAGGTAAAAGAATATGAGCTTGTGTGTATTGGGCTGGAGGAAGATGTTCTAAATGTTAAAAAATGAAGATTACATATTTAAATTTCAAGTCTGTGCTCCATGATTAATATCATGGCTTTTTCCCATAACTATTAAGCACCTGTTTCAGTGTCAGGAACCTAATCAATATTAATTAAATATTTGATTTAAATATAAAGGATAATTCATGCTAAAGTGCCTCAATCTCTAAACTACGTAAAATAGATTAAAACATGTTCTTCCAAATTTAAGATTCATCAGGAAATTTGGAATAAAGAACACTTTTTTTAAAGGTACTGTCTTCTAAACAAAGAAAATAGAAAAGAGATAAATATTCAAGCCGAAATAAGATATACTAAGAAAAGACTTTGTAGGATGGTTAAGAGATATCTACCAAAGCCTCTGGACTTGTAAAAGGAAGAAGAAAATTTTGTCATATCTATCTCTTTTTCCTGCATGTCTCTGCTTAATTTTGCTGAGTAACTCAGCTTCTACTTATAGGATATGTGGCAGGGTAGAGCAAAATTAAGACTAAATGTTATCAGAGGCTTTTTTGACCCTGTAATTATGTTCTGTGTTTCTAACACCCAGAGTCATGATGGTGAGGGGGAGGAGATTGCAAATAAAGACATATTTATTTTATAGAACATTAGATCTAGACAGAAGATTATCAGACCACAGCTGGAATTATCAAAGGCAAAAAAAAAAGACAAATTACAATGAGAAAGAAAGAAAAAAAGGAAATTCAGAGCAAAAAAGAAAGAAACTTTATTATAATCTGTTAATCTATTTCAGATATACCTTCTTCTGATGCTAAATATATAGTTCCATACACTAATGGATCAAAAAGTAAGAAGTAAGACTGATACAGTCCTGGTGGTTGCCAAGAATAAATTAGTCACTTTCACATTAAACCAACTGCCCAGGACTCAGAAAATAAGAAATTTCAACAAAGCAAACAATTTATGTTTAATTCCTTCTTAAAGTTTATATTAATGAAGAAGAAAATGTGTATAACAATCTAAAATGTTTCCTAAATATCCTCTTATGTCACAGTTATGCATTCAATTAAATTAAAATGATTAAATCTTTAGAAGTTACCTATTTGGTTACTAAGAGAACATGTAAAACTTTACTGAAAATGTATCCTTTGAATTATTACCTCCATCCACATTTTATTCTCTTAAGTCAGAATTATTTATTCAAATTTTTTTAATATTTCTCTACATAGTTAAGAAAAAACACTAAAAGTAAGGCAATAAGATAAAGAGCACAAAAGGAGGTTTATATTTTTTAAAAAGTGAAACAAAATAAAAGCAGCTTTGAGCATTGGTGCATTAGTACATGTGGGCAGAAGAAACCAGAAGGGTCCAGCTCTTCTTAGGCTTTTCTGGGAGTCCAGCTCACCAGGCACTGTGAGGAAGAGGAGGAGCCACTTTAGGTGAAACAAAAGTTACACAAACAGAAATAGCTGTAGGTGTTTGCTGAGATGACAGTCTGAATTTATCCTTCTTACGGTTGGAAATCGTTGAATATTTTAACTAAGAACTCATTAACAAACACCAGATTGGGGATATAAGAAATTCAATTTATAGTACTTTTATCAAATTTCACATTTAATTAAAGTAAATGAGGGTTTTTTAATGAAGGATTGGTTTATGGTAAAAATATTGGATTATACTAAATTTGATTTTCCAAAATCAGGCAATGCCTTTCATATTTGTTTTTGTGTAGTCTTCACATCATTCTTAAAATAATTTGAGGTGTATAGGGAGATAAATGTTAAAATATGAGTATTTTAAGTGAATTGGTGAAGATTTCAAAGTGAAGTGGATACCAAGATATATTAAAGGTAACATTAGCAATCAAAATTTTACCTGCCACAAGATCCCATGTCATTATTGCACTAAAAAAATAAAGTCTAAGGAGAAAAATACAAATAAGATTATTTATAAGATAAATGCTACTAGTCAACTCTAAAGGAACACTTTACTGGCAGTGGAGTTAACAAAAGCATCAGTTTTAAAATTATGTAAGAGCTATCCTAATGGCAAAACAGACAACATTCTCAAGAATATTCCTGCAATATATCAGCCAATTTTGTATATTTGTTCTTATAACTACTTTCAATATAATCTAAATAATCATTTAAAAGTCTATCTATGAAGTTAAATGTGAAGAATGAATATTATATTATGATGTAAAGGGCATTAGGAAACCATACTTTCCTAAATGTGTTTATCTAAGCACTACCATGATAGAAATGAAATGATGTCATTGAATTCAGATTATTTTATTCCAGGAAATTCACTTTAAAGTATAAAACATTAGTAAAGRGAATTATATCAAGTCACTAACTTTGTGTTATTTCACTTTGTTATTTTCCTTCAATGTCTAAATCTAAGTAATATGAGGCCTACAGAGTCCTCAAATTTTTGAAAAACCTATTTATAAAAGATGCAATAATTTAGATGAATTTTAGTCATAATTAGTCAGGCTTCCTTCCAACATAAGACTATGAACATCTAATTTAGCTCCATATAATTTCAAATAATATTAGACTTGCTTCCCACAGTGGGATAGACTATATATCTGGGGATATTTTTACCTATGAATTTTCATCAAAAATTGGTTCATTTAAGCAATATGATTTAAGATTTCATAGCGTTAAGATGAAACATAAACTTTTGTTCTTTAAAAGGATACACATGAGGGAATCTCTCTTCATTCAGGATTGAAGATAAGGAAACAGGAAACAAATACTCCCTCTACTCCTTTACCACAGTTGTTATTATTTTTGTGTTTTTATGTTCAAGGTCCATGTATCTCAGAACAGCCATGAAAGGGCTTCCTGGAAAACAAACCAAACCAAAACAAAAACCATGTGTCCCAACTCACATGGTTCTACCCGACCACGGAGAGAGGAGGATCACAGCCTGCAGACTCTGGGATTGTAAAAAAAGGGAACGCTGCATTTCACAAAGTCATTGAAACTCTGAGCTCACTTGCAGTCCAGGGGCAACCATGCAGGATGAAGACGGCTACATCACTTTGAATATTAAATCTAGAAAGCCACCTCTCTCCTCAGGTAAGAATGTAGGGAGCCCTCCACAAGGAAATTAATTAGTGAAACAGGTCAATCCTATTTTCTCTTTGCTACCTGTGATAGTATGTATAGTTGTACTTCATCTTTTTCTGAATGATGTTCTTTCTCTGAAGTGTTTGAACAATGTCTACAAAGGCTTATATGGACATATTTAGAATATAAACAGCAAAGATACAAGCAGGGAATATTATTTTAAGGCTCTAGAATTTAGTACTGTGCCTTCCAGTATTCCAAGGAGATAAAGAAAATTTGAAAATTCCATTTTCTGAATGTCAGTATGGTTGTTGCTTATTAAAGTAACTATTTATGTGGGTGGCACACACAACAACAACAACAACAACAACAAGACAAACTACATGAGATCTTAACAGCCAGATATGTTTTGGCTTAGAAAGAGAGAATCCATTGGGAATGCAGATGGATGTGTGGTGTGGAGTGGGTTGTGCTTATTATCCATGATCACGAAAGGAACAAAGGCAAGTTCTGTCTTGGCCCTTTGTGAGACTGGAAAATCCTGAGAAGGCATGTGAGGGTGGAAGGACCATCTGCTCCCTGATGTCTTTGTTGTTTGCCTACAGCTGACCCCACTTCCTCTCCTTGGTGGCGTGTGATGGCTTTGGTTCTGATGATCTTGTCCGTGGGGATGGTTGTTGGGCTGGTGGCTTTGGGGATTATGTGTAAGTATTGAATTTTGCCAAAGATCTGATCTGAGAAAGGCAATACCTAAGGTTTTTTCTGGCTTATGCTGCTCAGCTTCTTGTCACTATTGTCTATTTGTTGCACTCCAATCAGCCTATATGTAGCTGCCACTATATTCCAAATGTAGGAGAACTTTGACTTTTACTTCTGATTAAAATCACTTTTTAAAATTCTTCCATTAATCATAATTACTTTCAGAATTCAAAACTGGTCCTTAAGATCTTCCTTAGTGTGGAACCAAACTATCTTTTGAAACTTTCAGCTTTCCTATCATACATATCCTAGGACCCAGCCAACCCAGAGTTTTCTTAATTTCATAAATAAACCTGAATTCTCCCTGTTTGAAAGTTTGTTCTATCTATTCCCGCTTCCTGAAATATCTTCCTTGCTATTTCACTTACTGAAATAATTGGCTTTCTCTTCCTGTAAATCTAATGGCCCTACAATGTCACATTGTAGGTTGTGTAGTTATTACTTGTTTGTATATTTATTTTTATAAGTGGTTTTAGAAGTTTTCATTTATCATGTTTTATCTATGTGAATACCCACAGTTATTTTAAGCATAATAATAAATAAATATACATCCTTAAATAAGTTAATATTTTGGTATTACATGAAGAACAGAAAATAAATGGGGTCACTCACCTCTATGATGTCTGCTCTGAAATTTGTATTCAAGACAACTGCTTTGACGCATTATCTGGTCATGGGATTTTCTTCTTTGTGACTATCTCCTTCAAATAATTCACTTATTCTTCTGGATAGCACTGACATATCTTTTGTATATTTCTTACTTGGTTCTTTATATTCTCCTTTACTCTTATCCTTTTTCATATATTCATATGTATCAAATAATCTCTTCATATACTGGTCATTCTATAGAAGTGGAAATGAATGGAGAGATCCTTGCATCACCTTTATGATCCTGACTACAAGTTATAATTTTATGTAATTTTTTTTTTAAATCTAGCTGTCACGCAGCAAAAGTACCTACAAGCTGAGAAAGAAAATCTCTCAGGAACTCTACAACAATTAGCCAAGAACTTCTGTCAAAATTTAATAAAACAATTAGAACAAAAGCAAAAGGGCAGTTTCTGTAAGTATGATTTGAAAACCTCTTCCTCTCCCCAACTCCTAGAACGTATCTGTGATGGTAACCAAAGGGAGTCATGAGATAGACAGTAAACCATGAACATGGGGAAAATGTAAGCCACATGTAGAATGATGAGGTCCCTATACTTGGTTTCTCCTTCAGACCATAAATGCAGCCCTTGTGACACAAAATGGAGGTATTACGGAAATAGCTGCTATGGATTCTTCAGGCAAAACTTGACGTGGGAAGAGAGTAAACAGTACTGCATGGATATGAATGCAACTCTTGTGAAGATTGCCGGCCAGAACATTCTGGTAAGAAAATTCTGATGTTAAATACGTTGGAAGCATAAAGGGGAAAAAACTGTAATATATGACCTTTTTCTTTCTTTTTAACATTTTCTCATGTTTGTAATAATCAAAGAAACTTGTCAAGCTCAGTAAAAGTTACAGAGTTCAAATATTCAATCTAGTCATGTTCCTCAGAATCACTATAGCTGGTCATTTAAAATTGACTTGTACCTTCCTGAGGACTAAAGTGCACAGTGGATCTAACTAGAAGAGTCAGCCAGGGATGTTCCCCACCACTAGTGTTCCCTGTTACTCTAACTTGTTGCACCATCTACTTACTGTTCAGAMTCACAGAGAATATAATCAACTAAATAAGCTTTTACTTCCATTCAGGCAAAATAGGAGAATGCCCCCAAATCTCAACTTCTAAAGAGATTAATTGGAGATATATGTGTACTGAATCTTATTACTCTAGGGTGATGTGAGGGTGAATATTTATACCTAAAAGAAGTATATAATTTATGAAAAAAAAAAGAAATACTGAATTTGAAGTAGAATTATCCATCAGGTCCTATAGTGAAGCAGCTACTGTGGATATATTTTAAAGAAAAAAAAACAGGTATCAGCAGAAAGTTTATGGATGACTCATATTTTCAGAAATAAACAATAAGAAGGGACATTTACACAATATCTCTATGGAATGTCAAAATGAGTCACATATCTTTCAAGAAATTCAAATTACTTTCTTTTTTCTAAAAATGAATTCCCACCTGATATTCTGGGAGGCATGAGAGTATTCACCTTTTAATTTGGTTCAATTGATTGACTGCCCATTCATCCATTGGTTCAACAAATATATGCTGGAACTGTTCCAGGACCTTGACCCATGCATTTTTTAAAAAGAGACAAAAAAAATCCCTAATCTCCAAGAGTATGTATTCTAGKTGGAACAATAGAAAGTGAATAAAACAAATATATTCAGTATATAGAATGATAGTAAAAATTATTGAGTATAAAAAAGTAAATCAGGAAAGGTTTGATGCATGCAATTTATAAATCCCTTTTAGAAAGATGTCATAAACATTTGATTCTCCCAGCCAACTAAAACAAATTAAAATTCTTTATGTATGATAAGTGGTAAAACCAAAGCAGGTAGAGTTGAATCCTTGGTACTAAAAATCTCATCAACAATGCATTTCTTTTTGTGTTCTTCCTCTAGTTGTTTGCCATTCTTCACATTTGAATCATATGTTCTAGTCCATTTGGAACTCCAATYTTCAATTGATGGAAAATATAACCATAGATTATAAAGACATAGGAAGACTAGAACATCAGCTATTCAGTGACTAGTTTTCCTATGTCCTAGAAGTTTTTTTCATATTATGAAACAACTCAATTTGGTACAATTCTAAATGCTAAATAGAATCCATTCATACTAACACAGACATATAATCTAACATTTTGTGCAAGGTCTTATTATTAAGCTTTGTGTCTGTTATTATGAAGAGTTGTGGACATATTCTGAACATTTTATATTTATTTGTGTTTTCAATAGGAGTACATCAAAGCCAGGACCGTTTTAATTCGTTGGGTTGGATTATCCAATCAGAATTCTAACAAGGTCTGGATGTGGGAAGATGGTTCTATATTCTCCAAAAATATGTAAGTCACTAGACACTTGAACAGAAGGCACTACTAGAAACATTCATTCTGAGAAACCATTTCCTCTTGAATACAAGTTATTGAAAATTGAGATATGTCTCTATACCCTACTATGAGTTTTCTAAGCAGCAGCTGAGTCATTGATAACCTACTTACTCTTAACCAGAGAACACTGATAATAAGACAATTCTATTTTTCCTTCCCTCTCATTCTATTTTTATCTAAGCCATAGTTCACCTGTATTCTCAGTATTTTCCTCATTTATTTCTGTCTGACTTTACCTTTGGAACAGTGTGGGTGTGTGTGTGTGTGTGTGTGTGTGTGTGTGTGTGTCTGTGTGTGTGTGTGTTAAGCTTGATCTGATTCTCTTCACATATTTTTAGACCCAAATAATTACTCTCATTATTTTATAGTTGACAGTTATTAACTTGATGATTCTGTTGATTTTCAGTGTCATTTCGCCTAGTCTGTATCCTAGGAGCCTGCAAGAATCTGGTACACTGTAGGTCACAAGCAATTCTCATGTTCATGTAATGAGGTGCCATCCTTCCACAGAAAATCCAGGCAAATGGCCTAATTACATTGAAAGATGAGTGAACATCTTGGTTCTCCAATTTCTAATTTCAGCACATTTTGTTCATTCTGTGTATACATATTGAAGTCTCTCTCCAATTCAAATTTAAACTGATAACAAAAGCTTTTGCAATCTGATCATTATTTAAATTATTAATCAAGTTTTTAACATATATTTATTAAGTCTTTACTTTGGGAAGGAGACCAGAACATCATAACTACAACAAGCCTCTTCTAGACCTTGGGTTTTATCTCCTGTCACTGGCTGCCTCAGTCACAATATCATAGGCAAAGTAGCATTCTCTCTATTCTTCCAACAAGTCAAACTTGGTTTTGTTTTAGTTTTTTTTTTGTTTTGTTAGTTTGATTTATTTGAGGAAATGACTGAAGGCCATTATATCTGCTGGTTTTTCTTCTAGAATGCTCTTCCTCCACAAGTTCAGATTTGGGTCCCCCTTTTGAGTCGACTCAGCATAACTTGTTTGGTGAAATCAATTCTAATTACCTGAACTAATTTAGTCTCCCTCCAACCCATGTCTACATGGTCCATCATACCTTCATTGTTGTGTATCTTCATAATTCTTGTCACTGTTCAATTGTCTTGTCTACCTGTTTGTAGGCTTTTTACCAAYGTTCCATTGTGTTATATAAGAGCCCCAAGAGAAGAGAGGTTTTTTATTTACCACTCTGTCCTCAGTATCTTGAACAACTTTGACACCTGACACATCCACAGATATTTGGCAAATAAACTAGTAAATATATATTCCTCATCTCCTCATAATAAGCAGTCTAGCAAGGGGTATAGACAAGTTAAAGGACAAGTTAATGCAGTGTGCTCTTGTAGATCTAATTCTCAATAACTAAGTCCTCAGTTCAAAAATATTCAATCAACTTTCTTTTCCCTGAGCCTATTCCCATCTTGTGCAGCTTGCACTCTAGGATCTCCCATGTCCTCCTTGCTTATCTGAATCCTAGCCTTCCTTCAGTACTGATCTGGTAGGATCATCATATCAGAACCATATCCATCCTTTTTCTGCACTGCCATTGTAGTCAGTGTTCACTTCTTCTTTATCTTATGCATTATAAAATTTCTACTGGGCTTTTCAAATGTACATACCTTGTATTCTCAAGCAGAGGTGAAGTTTCTCAATGGTGAGAATGTTGGGGGGCTTTGTTGCTGCTGCTGCTTTTGTTTTTACATTTTTCCTGTCATCTCCAGTTTGTGCAACAGTGTTTTGCACCCAGGGTTTGACTCTTGATTATTAATTCATTTTTCAAAGGCATGCACTCTACCCTTTTTTATTCACAGGCTTGATCTTTCTGGAGATGAAACAGAAAACATGAATTGTGCTTATTTTCACAATGGGAAAATCCGCCCTGCCTTCTGTAAGGACAGACATTATTTAATGTGTGAGAAGAAGGCTGGCTTGGCAAAGGTGGAACAACTGCTTTAATGTAAAATGATGGACAGATATCAGAGAAGTGGTGGTTGTATAATAAAAGATTTGGATGAAGAATCTATAGCCACAAAATTGCTCATTTCTCCTTTTCTTCCCCTTGGAGTCATTTTTATATTATTTTTACTTCCAACACCACTTGCCTAGTCCCTTCTTTGCATATGCAGAAGCCAACATGTGAGTTGATCATCTGCATATCAGTTGCTCTATTTTCCACTAATTTTCTCTTCCTGTATTGCATTCCTAATTATCTGAACATACCATGACTCACTGCATCTTCAGATACACACATATTAATTGAAATTTGGACAAGAAAAATTAGCTCTTAGTTGACTTAAGCTGTACAAAATATCTACGTTAGAAATACAGCATAAGGTATTAGAAATAATACTAAATGTGGAATAAGGAGAAAATTTAGATAATGTGGTCCCTTAACTAAAGTATAGCCATGAACTAGTCATGCAACCTCCTTAATTTCCATTTTTTCATATTTAAAATGAGATATTACCCAGCTAATATACCTCACCATTCTACAACCTAAGATGAACTTAATAGTGTTAACTATAACAGAAACTCTATGAAGCAGAGACCATGATTTCCCTGTTCACTGTTCTATAATTAGTACCAAATACAGTGAACAGGGAAGTCTGGATCTCACTTAATAGAGTTCACAAGAAACTGTATGCTTTGCATTATGTGACATAGATATTTAGAAAACTCTTTAATCAGTACAACAAGTGTACAAATATCGTTACTATTTTAAGTCCACTCCTGATCAGACTCAATGCAAAAAAACAAAGTTGACACAAAATCCCCTGGTGTTCATAAATGAGGAAATGCTTCTTAACAAGGCCCAGAGATTAGAAGGCAAAAGAAACACGTGAAAGTGTTTTATCTATCCCCGCCCCCCTCCATAAGAGGCCTATGTTTGGTTTTTGCTGAATAACTCAGGAAGTATTTATGGAGTATGTGGTCAGGTACCATTTAACAGGATAACAAGTAAAAATTGCCCTTCTTTCCCACAGTTTCCTTTCTCTAACTAGTGGGCATACAATTTATGAACATAATTCTCCACCTTCCAAATGAGATTGTTTGTTAAAACATGGAGGTATTACATCACAAATACTGATGGTTCTTGGTTTGAAGGCTGAGGAGACATAGCCTTGTTTTTAACAAACACCTCTACATGATTCTGATATGAATAGTCTTTAATACATTCCAAAAAACATTGCTTTAAAGCTTATGTGGCTTTGGGTAAGTAATTTAGTCTCTTTACAATTCGGTTTTCTATCTATGAAATGGGTTCAATGTTATTTTCTTACCCAGAAGGTAATTGTGTGGATTAGTTAGTATAATGATATAAAGTAATGGTAAGAGTTTTAAGCATGTAATACTTACTCAATAAATATGGGTTACATTTATAGCTTCATGCATTAACTCCCAAGCATTCTCAAATCTCTATCTTACTGTCAATAAACAAGAATGTGTTAGGAAACTGAAGAAAAATATCACAAATTCTCCAGATTCTGCTTGTCATTTCAAATGTCTAGATATATTGGATTTGGTAGAGTGGGGTATTATTTTCTTTCCTTTCTTCTTTATTTCACTTTAACCTGTTTTTGTTTTTTTGTTTGTTTGTTTTTTTGTTTTTTTGGTGTGTGTGTGTGTGTTTTATTATTGTTGCTTGTTTGTGTGGTTTGGGTTTTGAGTGGAGTTTGTTGAACACCTCATGTGTCTTGTTTTTAATTTTTTTCTGTTTTCTCTTTYTTAAATTTATTCTAATTTGTTGTATATGACAGCAGAGTACATATCAATTCATATTACACATATATAGCAGAATTTTTTATATCTCTGGTTGTACACAATGTAGAGTCACACCATTCGTGTCTTCATATATGTAATTAGGGTAATGATATCCATCTCATTCTACTGCCTTTCCTACCCCATTCCCCCTCCACACCTCTCCCTCCCCTTTGCCCTATCTAGAGTTCATCGATTCCTCTCATGCCCCACCCCGMCATCGCCATAATGGATCAGCGTCCTCATATCAGAGAAAACATTCAGCATTTGGTTTTTTGGGATTAGCTAACTTCACTTAGCATTATATTTTCCAACTCCATTCATTTACCTGCAAATGGCATAATTTTATTCTCTTTTATTGCTGAGTAATAGTCCATTGTGTATATATGCCAAATTTTCTTCATCCATTCATCTACTGAAGGGCATCTAGGTTGCTTCCACAGTTTAGCTATTGTGAATTGTGCTGCTATAAACATTGATGTGGCTGTGTCCCTGTAGTATGCTGTTTTTAAGTCCTTTGGGTATAGACTAAGGAGAGAGATAGCTGGGTCAAATGGTGGTTCTCTTCCCAGTTTTTCAAGGAATCTCCATACTGCTTTCCATATTGGCTGCACCAATTTGCAGTCCCACCAGCAAAGTATGAGTGTGCCTTTTTCCCCACATCCTCGCCAACACTTATTGTTGTTCATATTCTTAATAGCTGCCATTCTGACTGGAGTGAGATGACATCTTAGAGTAATTTTGATTTGTATTTCTCTAATTGCTAGAGAAGTTGAACATTTTTTATATATTTATTGATTGTATATCATCTTCTGGGAAGTGTCCATTCAGTTCCTTGGCCCATTTACTTATTGGGTTATTTGGGGATTTTGGTGTTAATATTTTTTAGTTCTTTATATATCCTTGAGATTAGTTCTCTATCTGATGAGGATGTGGTAAATTATTTTTAATTGTTTATTTAGATAAAATAAATTGGAAATAATAATTCAGAAAACTTCTCCCAAATTAGCCATATCTCTGAACTTTACTGGTTCTTATTTCCAATATGGAAAAGCATATATTTATACACAGCTATAGCACATTCAAATTTAGAAGAATTATATCTTAGTTTATAGCTAAAACACAAATAAAATATGTAAACTAATTGAATTATCCCTACAAATATTCTTTTTTTTTCTGGTACTCACAGCTAAATCATCTTATACATGAAACCAGCTTAACACAGACATTAATAAAACTTATGYTATGATCAGGCCACTAAATGTGAAACTTACTAAGTGAATTTCAGAAAATTTGACTTCACTGTGCTTTAATTTACAATTAAGCTACACTGTACTAATAGTAGTACCTATTGCATGGATCTATTGTAAGAATCAAAATAATTCATGTGAAAGATATTAAAAATAGTACATTACACAATGAACAGCAAATAATGGGAAATATGATTAAAATAATCAAATATAATATGAGAAGCATATTAATTTTTTACTGGAGAAAACCAATGGCCCTTCCAAAGAAATTTATCAAAGAATACAGTGTATTTGATAAAATCAGGTCTTTCTGAACTCAATGCTTAGTGCTAATAAAATCTGAAGAGAAACTGGAAATGAATAATAGCTAATAGGACCTTCGTTCATGTCATTCATGTCAGTTCATATTTGGTATGATTATGGCTTCTTCCTCTTTTCTCCTCTAAACAGAACTTGGGACATTTTAAAGGTTACATAGATTTTAGTCACCTGGTTTATTCAGATTAGCATCTCAAGTCACAAAAATGTTACATGAAATGTTTAGAGAATGTACTGGATATTTTTTATTTGTCCCTGGAGACCCTCTCAGCCCCATCATGTGTCTTGGGAAGCTGAACTCAAAAAATGAACATATTATCTAGACAAGCTTGGCCTCTGGCTTCCAGTTACCCCAGCCAATGGGAGGCACTGGCAATGAACAAAAGTAGAATATTGATTCCACTGACTCTCTCCCTTCAGGGCCTTGGTTTAGCAAAGTCTGTTTGTTCTATATGAAGTGTAATTGGTAAAGAAGGAAACCACAAAGTTCCAATAAACACCCTCCATAAGCCTAGGACTGATAACAGCTTCCCAGTGTGTATCTCACCATCCTGCTTTTCTTCTCTGAACCTTTGCAAAAACTTTAGTCCTTTTAGTGAATTCCCTTACCTGGTCCCTTAAATGTGCTGTTTGTTTGCTTCTGGGAGCCTATTATGAGAGCAACAACCGATCTAGTGAGACACTGAAACAACAGTGACACAGTGAAACACTGAAGTTACTGAGGCATGACCTTTGGCCATAAGAACAAGTGGCTAAAAAATGAATAATGATTAAAGGAATGAATTTTTCAATACTGATGCCATAGTCACAGGATTAACACAAATGGCCATCTGTGCTCTAAATAATTTGTGCCTCCCTTCTAAAGACAAATTAGTATTGAAAGCTTGCTATCTAGGCAAAAAAAAAAAAGAAAAATATATATATATATATACTTTTTAAACCTAACCTTTATATCCATATATGGATATGCCCTTGGTAGATGTGGCTGTGATACATTTTAATTCTAGGTTTTGGCTTTCAAGAAGTGTGAATCTATCACTATCTCTTTTTCCTTTCCAGTGGATAGAAGTAGAGGATCAATGTCTCACAATGTGCCAGAAATCCAGGTCCCGTTGGGAGAAAAGCTGTCCACCAATCAAGATTACTGGAGCTAAGGTGTTTTGTGAGAAAAAAAAAAAAAAAAAAACTTTTATAGTGTTAACCGATATTTGAGGTTTACTTATCACAGCTGTTAGTATTACCCAAATTAACATACAGCATGTAAATTTATTTTAGGAATGAAATCCCTTCCTAACTTTCTTAAGGACACATAGTGATGATCTACATCCTGGTTTGCCCATTGTGATCTGCCTTGTATCTATATTGTCTAAGCCATCTCTGCTTCATGTCTTGTGCCAAATAGAAGGACATTGTTTGCACATATATCCTTTCTAAACTAACCCAGGGCCATGACCTTCTGTATTTGTGACACTTTGGAAACCAGAGCAGAACCATGTTCTACCATTGGCCATATCAAGTTCAATACGATCTCATTTCCTTCTTTACCAATAACACTTCAAAAACTTCCACTTTCGAATGAAGATGCATCAGCTCTATTCCTTAAACCCAAACATATTTTCCCACTACTGTGAAAAAAGTAGCCAGTTTCACTTCATTCACCAACTTGCTCCTAACCACAAGTGGAGCTGTTTGTATCAGCCTCCTGCATGGACTGGCTGCTTTACCTATCAAAGCCTCTCAGCCATGCACGAAGAAGAAATATACACCTCTCTTCAGTGGGATAATCCAACATCAGAAACTTCTCAGAAATGTCTGACTTCCACCAAACTTTCAGGTAATGAGTTCTAATTTTTTAGGGTAAGACTTGAGTTTATGCTTTGTTTCTTGTTCTATGATGAGTCTAAGATTTATTTTTTTCTAATCTGAGATAACCTACTTATAATATTTTCATATGCCTGACATACTAAATGAGATGAAGTGGAGTAAATAAAGGTGAAAAAGGAAAAGAATGAGAGACTTAACAAATATGCCTCCTTCTCTCTTTGAAAAGAAAGAAAGAGAAAAAATGCATTTTAATATTTAGAAAATAAGTAAAATAAATTATATCATTTTAATTATTTTAATTCTTGTATCAAACACTCTCTAAATTATTTGATAAATACTAAGAAATAAAAAAATGGGAAAAGTGAAAAAATATCATCCTGGAGCTGCCTGCTATAGTAGTCAGTTATATCTTCTTATTTAATATTTGTATTAGTGTGTTTCTGTTGATGCAACAAGTCATCATAGATTTAGCAACACAAATTTATCATTTTAAAATTTTAGAGATCAAAATTTGAAATGGATTTTACTGTGCCAAAACCAAGATGTTGGTAGGGTTATACAGGAGAATCTATCCCCTTGTCATTTCTAGTTTCTAGACTTGCATTTATTGCTTTCTTTGGCTCTAGGCTCTCTTCCTTCATCTGCAAATCCAACAGCATAACACCTTAACGCTCTTTGCTTCTATCATTTCATCACATTTTGTGTCTCGAATCATCTGATTCTTGCTTATAAGAATCCAAATAAGTCAGTGTAAACCTCCCATTCCAAATCCTTAATTTAGTAACATCTTCAAAGTGTCTATTGCCACATAAAATACTATTTACAGGTACCAAGGATAAGGAACCCTACCACACTATCTAAAGATAAATTTTATTTATTTTTCTTTGAGTAGTGTTAATATAATAAATCACACATTCTTAAATTTTCCTTCCTAAGAATTATAAAATTAGCTGGAAAAATTTATTCTTCATCCAAAATTATATAACTAATAAAGAAATGTATTTTAATCAGTCATATTTAAGTGATACTTAAAAGAGGTATGGGAGATACAACTGCATTCTTGCTCTCAAAAATTCAAGGCAGCTCCCTGGCTTGTGACAATTCCTAAAGATTGTTGAAAAAGAAAACATATAATTAATTAGTAAGGTTGTGATACTATGCATAAAGACCGAGAGGTGTACTATTAAATCTATTGGATATTTTCCAAATCAGATGCATTCCAAATTATCACTTTCATTTCAAAAAGTTTTTAAAAAGGCTTTCTTTTTCCTATTACACATAATTACAAATTCCAGGCCTCCGTAATTTTCCAGTGAGAACGCCTAATATAAATTCCTTATTTTGCTCAGCCTCATCTTATCTCTGACCCATCCATTTCTAGTACTTTCTCTAATTCAATTTCATTGTCCCAATTTCATGTTTAGGAACATGCTGTGTTGTGATGGCGATTTCATGGATTTTCTGCATAGGCTTGTTAACAACATCCATTTTCTTTGGCATCAAATGTAAGTACAAAAGAATATTTTTTAAAAATCTATTAACATATATAAGTTATGAATTACACTTTCATATAATTATATGTCATTACATAAAAACTTCATGATTTCCAAGTGAATGAAAAACCAGTTAAATTCTATTTGAATGTATCTAAATGATATAAATAAAGGTTTTCTGATTCAAATTATAGGATAGTTATTTATTATGTATCTATGTGCACTTGGATATTACTGATAGCATCAATAATGGCTTTCATCTGGTTTAACTCAAATCTAATCTTATATATTTCCTTGAGAAAAAAAACAATGAGAATAGTTTCTTTCTCTTTGTTTCTTTGTTTCTTTTTTTCTTTCATCTTTCTTTCTTTCATTTAATTCATGGTGCAAGGGATCAAACCCAGGGCCTTGTACATACACTAGGCACACTCTACTACTGAGCTACAACCTCCCTCTCATTACTATTACTCTGTTTCTATTTGTGAGTCACATTAGCATGCCAAAGGATTGAAAGATTTCAGATATACTCTTCAGATATTCTCTTCTAATATACAGTTATTCCAAATGACTTTTTCAGATTATTTTAATGTGTTTCACTGCACATTAAGCAAGGTACAATTTCAAATGTTTAAAGCAAATCTGAGAGCTATATTTGAGCCATACTTAAACACACTGGTTTATTCCTTTTATTCATATTAGAGAAATRTTTCCATGTCTAGCAAATGAAATTTTTATAAAATAGAACAATTATGGAGTTTCCAAATCCATAAAAAAGAATAAGAACCTCTACTATTGCTTCTGCTAGCACTGAGAAAATATGCTTAGAAAGATAATGCTGGAGGTTATATTTGGATAATTTTTGTGATGACCTTGGCAAATCATTTCTGTATTTCAGAGGCATATGCTGAACAGGAAGCACAGTGAGCTCTGAGAAGGCTAAAGGAAAGTTTTAGATTTTCTTTGACAAGCTTGATCTTGCTCACGTAGAGCTAGAAGATTCATTTTCTAATGATTCTTAGAGAAATATTTTAAAACTCAAATCATTCTTGTTACCCTGTGTATCTCCTCAGATGAAATAACACAGCCCAACACAAATGTTAGAAACTCCAGGAAGCTTCCTGTCTCTATCTACCCTCCTTCTGATTTGTTTTTAATATTTTTAGCAAATTCTAGTTCATCTATTAAGATGTTCATATGTTAAGTATCTGTTTATCAAACACACTAGAAAAAATTCATTTAAATAGAACTAATGGTAAGTCAGTAAACATCTTGATATTCTTCATTAAAAACTGAGGACCTTTTTATTATTTTTATTAGTTTATTATAGTTACACTTAATATTGTAGTACATTTTGACATAATCATACAAGCATAGAATATAATTTGGTCCCTTTCAAAACTTGGGATGTTTAATGAGATATTTCCAACCTCTTTTCTAACTTTACAACACAAAAATCCATATTGAACTCATTGCAGATGTAGTTTAAATATTAATTCTATAAAATAAATTTCAATGTTGCTTTTATAAATTTTAAGGGAATAAAATAAACTTAAAAATTTAAAAAGCTGTATCTGGTTAAGAACAAAATTAACTGAATAGATAACACCTTATAGCAGTATTGTCAAGGGAATGGAATATAAAATTTGGTTATATATAAAAATAAAATCTAGAGTGTCCAACTACAACAATCAGATGATAAAAAATCATATAATACATGTCTATAAAAGTACATTGGACATTTTAAATGTCTTCAATAATACTTGCTGTCAGTATATATATATAATTTTGTCTTATTCTCTGTCTAGTGCATGAGATGTGTTTAGATAAACTATGACAATCATATTTCTAAGAATTGTTAGTTATTGTAAATGATACTAATTAATTTTGTCCTAGTAATACCACATTATAAATTTATCTTATAGATAAACTTGCACACACAGCAGGAGGAAATTTTAAAAACTGGAAAAATCCAAATGGTACATCAATAAGAGACCATTTAAATAACTTAATAATGCATCTATACAATAGAGTACCATGAAGGTGGGGTGGGGGAAGAGAGAGAGAGAGAGAGAGAGAGAGAGAGAGAGAGAGAGAGAGAGAGAGAGAAAGAAAAGCAATCTTTTTATGCACTGCTATAGAACTATCTCCATGGTACACTGTTAGGTTAAAAAAAGGGCAACATTCAAAATACTGTATGTTATGCTATAATTTGATTTAAATTGTATAGCACATATTTTTATTTGGGGTGTTTTAGAAGTATTTTGTTATGTTTCCCCTGGTAATTACAATGTTAACTTTACTTGTTGGAAATTAATTCCAACCTCAACACCAATAAAGCTGAAGCATTTTGCTTCCCATTTATGATAAAAAAGAGAAGTCTCATTTCCCTTTCTCCAGTTTTAATAGTTTTGTATAGTACAAGCTAATCAGAGAGTAATAAACAGAGCAACAATCSCTTCTAAAATACAGCTAATCTGAAAAAAAGCATCTTATATTTCAAGTTCCTAAAAATTAAATTATTACATTTCACTAAGTTTGCCAAATAGCTAACAAGATAAAATAAAGAACACCATTGTCCTATTCCCCCACTCTGCTTAGGTCCAAACTTTGCTAAGAGAAAAACTAATCCAATCAACTGAGCCAGAGTTTCTTGATCTACAGAGAAGCAGGGCATGAACACCTGCTTTCTCTAGTTCCTGGTTATTGATTTCCAATATTTYCTTTTAAGCAGCAATGTTGGTGAGTAAAACAAATCAGAATGTGAAATATGTGATTTTTTTTTTAGAACAACTCAGCAACGAAATATGTGATTTGATGTCCTATTGTGTGTCCTGGCTTGGCCAGTAAGGGGGAGATGGGCAAAGTAATGATGATGCAAATTGCTTTATTTTACAAATTATAATCTTCCCCTTCATGATAATATTCACTATTAGGAGTATAGCCAAATTGTGTTCTTGTTTCCCCAAAAGGCAGAGTTAACTAGATCTTAAGTGGGCCAATCTTAATTAATATTTACTTTGTTTTCATTTTTCTAATAATCCATGAACCTAAATGGCAGCTAGGAAGAGTAGAGTTTGGCCACTTTATTTATTACAAGTAAGATCAACCTATCTTTATCAGATTCCTTTTTTGATCTTGTTTACCTCCTTTTTCTTGTTAAAAATATAGAAATCATTTTACAGTTCTATTCACTTTCTTCCTTTTTCCCTTTTTTTCTCTAGAAGATCTGAGTTTTACTCCTTTAGATTTGGCTGACATGTATAGTTTATTATTTTTAATTTACTAATGATTGCCAATTAATTAGTAATTTACCAATTAATAACTAATTAATTTACTAAGAGATTGCCATTCTCTCTCCTATATAACAACATAGGCACTTAATGACTGCCAGTTAATAATTATTAATATGTCATGAACTTATTTGAAGCTAATTCTGTAGCTCTCTATTAAACTACCTCTACAGAGTAAATGGCGTTGGCATAGCTCTTCTACTCAGAACTAACAAGTTTATTTAGCAAAGTCAGGATACAAAGTAAATACACAAAAATCAATTTTATATTTATACTTTAGTAATGAACATGAACATCAAAATTAAAAATGTAGTACTAATTGTATTTACTCCAAACAATGAAATGCTTAACAAAACATGTTCAGAGCGTATATGTTGAAAACTACTAGATGAAAGAAATAAAAAACCTAAGTGGAAATACAGGCCATGTTCATGAATTGTAAGACTCAACACAGGAAAAATGTCAGTTTTGCTCAAATTCATACGCAGATTACTGCTCCCCCTGGGGGAAATAACAATCACACACAAAAACCAAAAAAAAAAAGGAAAAGAAAAAAAGAAAAACTTTTCAATAAATACTGATGTATAAATTGTATATCTTTAATATTCAAGTGTGACATTTTCCTGCATATTCAATAGTTCTTATTTGTATGTTCACCATTACAAATTCTTTTTTATGGTTTTCTGGAGCCTCCTTCTTTTTTGGGGGGGGGGGGATTGTTGTTACTGTTTTGTTTTATTTGAAGTACTAGAGAGTGAATCCAGGGTGCTCAATCACTGAGCCTCATCCCCAGTCTTTTTTATTTTTTATTTTGAGACAGGATGTCACTAAGTTGGTCAGGGCTTCTCTAAACTGCTGAGGCTGGCCTGAAACTTGCAACCCTCCTGCCTCAGCCTCCTGAGTTGCTGAATATGCAGATTTAATGCAATCCTTTTCAAGATATGAGCAAGATTTCTTGTGGATGTAGATAATGTGATTCTAAAGTTCATATGCAGCAGCAAAAGAACTAGAGTAGTTAAAGCAAGAATAATGAGGGAGGAAACAATCTACCTGATTTTGAAACATATCATATAGCAGTATTAATGAGGACTATGTGTATTACTGAATAATACAGCAATAAAATACAAGAGAACCTGGTAATAGTGTCACACAAATATGCTCAGCTGATTTTTTTATATAGATACAAAATCAACTCTATGAAGCAGAATAACATTTTCAACAAATACTGTTGTATAAATTGTATATCCATTGGCAAAAAAAGTTTAAGTCTCACATCTTATACAAATATCAAAAATCAACTCAAACTGTGTCACAGTATCAACTATAAAATAGTTTATAGTTGATAAAACTAAAACTCTTAGAAAATATGAACAAATTTTTTTCGATATCTAAGAGTAGGCAGAGATATTGGAATTGATATCAAAAGAATAATTAATAAAAAGAAAACACTGGTAAGCTGCATGTTCCTCAATATTAAAAATGTTGTCCTTACAAAAGACATTATTAAAAACCATTTACAGATGAACTAAATACTTGCAAACCTCACATCCAATAAGGGACTAGAATATAAAAAGAACATAAAAACTTCCAAACTCAACAGTGAAAGATCAAACTACTCAACTAGAAAATAAAAAAAAACAAATCAAAATACATCTCTTCAAAGAAGATATACAGATATTAAGTAAGCATAAGAAAAGATGATCAATGTGATTAACATTCAGGAAAAGCAATTAAAGCCACAGTGAGATATTACTATATATCTCTCAGAGAGCTAAAAATAAAAAGTAATCACAACATCAAGTGCTCATGAGAGTAAAGAGAAGCTGTCTTACTCACTTCAGTAAAATGGAACAATCACTCTGGAAAATCTCACAGTGATTTCTTTTAAAAATCTAAACTTATTACCCCAACAGAACATAGCATTTCTCTCAGAGAAATGAGAGCTTATATTTACTAAAAGCTGTACAGGCAGGTTTGCTCATTTATTTGAAATGAGCAAAGCCAGAAAACTATACAGATCTTCTTTAATAGGCAAATGGTTAAACAGATGTGGTAATCCATATCAACAATAAAAAATGAATTATCTATCTACTTATGACAACAATCCAGTGAATCACCAAGAAATTATTGTGAATGGAAAAGGCCAATTACAAAGTGTTACATACTGTAAGATCCCACTTATGACATCACTGAAATGACAAAACTATAGAACTAGAACATAGATTAGTGTTGGGAGAGATGGGGCAAGAGTGGAATGGGTATGCTTATTTATAAAAGGAAATATGATGGCCATACATGGTGATGGAGAAGCTGTGCATCTTGAATGTATTTATTTCTATATCCTGGTATTGTCATTGACCTATAATTTTGCAAGATGTTACTCTTTGGTGGAAAGTGGGCAAGGGGTACCTGAAATCTTTATTATTTTTTGTAGCTGCATATGAATTCACAATTGCCTCAAAATAAAATTTGAGTTATAAAGATGAAACTTTTATGTGATAGTTAAGTTCATTATTTCCATTGTAAAGATAGTCTGTTGCAGGAATATATGCATGAAAATGTATCAACTGTTCAATCATATCTTAATAATACATTAACAATTTCAACAGCAATGATCTGCTCTAACATTGGCCCCTTCCCCTGCAAAAAAGTTTAATATATCCCCTGAGCTGAAGGGCAAATTGATAGATTAGAAAATAAAGCATAAATAATTTAGAGAATAAAAAAGGAGTTGTGAAAAAAGAGCAAAATATACAAAAGTGAGAGAGAGACACAAAACACAAGAAACACTACAATATGTGTTATGGTAGAGCCAAAAGTGGAAAAGGAAGTGTTAGACAAAAGTACTATTATAAGGCTTTTGAATAAAAATTTTCCAAAATTTATTAAAAACATTAAACTACAAGTTCAAGAAATTCTATTACAGCCAAATAAGATAAATACTCAAGGCATGCTAAGAGAAGGGTTTGCTGTAATAGGAATAGGTAGCTACTTTATAAAGTGTTTTTTTTTWWARARAWRKG